AGTCAGAAAAGAAAAAAGGGAGTCTGCAGAATTTAGGAAGAGCAGAAATCGTGAAATACAGAGAAAGAATGGGGAGAGCTAGGAGAAGTGACAGAAGCAGAGCATGCAGAGAGGAAATAACCTAGGAGGCCAGACTGCTATCCTGTGAAAGTCCTGCATACAAGTTGGGCCTTTCTTTAGCTGACATCTGGGAACTTGGAGTTTCAGAAGGTTCTCACCACCCAAATACCTAAGAGTGGCTCACTGTGCCAGAACTGTTTGTGCAAACAATCTTGTTTATGCTGAACATCTGCTTTCCTTCTGGGACTCTGGAAGCTTGGTATGTTTCAGGCAGAAGCGGCCTATGTGCGCATTCCCAAGCAAATACCCTGGGCACTGAGTCTCTGACGAGCTTCCCTGGCAGACAACATTTCACACGTGTTGTTGCAACTCATTGCTGGGAAAATTTAGTACATCCTGTGCAACTCCACTGGGAGAGAACCTTTGGAAGCTTGTGGCTGGCTTCCTCCAGGTTTTACCCCATACACCTTTTCTTTTGTTCATTTTGCTTTGTAACCTTTTGTTGTAGTAAATTATAGCTGTAGGACTATAGGCTGAGTCTTGTGAGTCCTCCTAGTAAAACATCAAACCTAGAGGTGATCCTGGGGACCCTGGCACACAGAGCTATTATAACAAGTTGTAACTAGACTGGGGAGTCTATTCATCTGCACATCTGTAGCTTAGGAAAAAAGAATAATGAAAACAGATATGGATACCAATGATTGGTACTTGGTGCTAGGTGGTGATGTAATATTACTAGAGATTTGTGTTATCCTCAGTAACTCTGAATGACTTTCAATTACATTCTGGATTTCATAAAGACTCAAACATAGAGATTAAAATCCCACATTCCTTTATTTCCAATAACCTCCTGTTACTTAAGGTGAGCCAAGCATGCCTCTAATTGTTTCCTAATTAACAATTGCCAAAGAAAATCATACAACCAGGAAAAGCAATCCTGCTACCAATATATGGTTTCTGACCTTGATAGAACCTTTGGTAATACCTGGAGATGTTTTTTTCTGTTCTAATTCATCAACCTTTTGTATGACGTTAGCATATCTTCATTGCTCTAGTTAATGATATAGCATCTATATTCTTCTAAACTAAATGATTGGAATATACATTGTCAACCTCTTTTTATCCCTCACACACAGCCAATGAACCATCAAATCTTATCAGTGCACCCTCCCCAATCCCATAAAACTCTTCCACACTTTCGTACTTTTCTGCATCCCTACCACCATGGCCTTAATGTATTTCCTAACCATTGTCATCCTAGATAATTGTACAAGTTTTATTTTCCTTTTCTTCTTAGTACTCCCTTCTCTCCACTATAATCCATCTTCTACAAAGTCATTAGAGTTATTATCCAAACAAAGTAATCATAAGCTTGGACTTTAAATCAGATTGGCAAAGTTTGAATCCTGATGTTAATACTATCTTGCTGTATAACCTTGGACAAATAATGTACCTGTTCTGTGCCTTATCCTCTGTGGTAAGTAGAATATTAATAATAGCTATGAAGATTAAATTTGTTAATATATGTAACAAATATACAACAGTGTCTGGAATTTGGTAAGTGATCAATAAGATATATTTGATTCTTTTTCTAAAAAACTTACATCTCTTTTGATATAAAACAAAATGTGCAACATCTGTGTGAACATATTGCAATTCCCTCTAAAAGAGTAACTGCTTCCTTATCTTGGGTCTTAAAGTTCATGATTTCACTTTTTTTTTTTTTTTTTTAAGAGAATGGGTCTCGCTATTTTTCCCAGGCCGGTCTTGAACTCCTGGGTTCAAGAGATCCTCCCACCTCAGCCTCCCTAGTAATTGGGATTACAGGTGTGAGCCACTGCACCTGAGTTGATTTCACATTTTTATCATAGAATATACCACATCAAAGGTCTTCTCCAAAAGATCATAAGCTCTAGATCAAATTAATCTCAGTATTTCCAGAATGAATGAATAAATGAATGAGTGAAGCCTTTGAAGTAGGCCCTTTTATCACAGTCCAAATTAAGTATTACATTTTTCTGAAGCATTAGTAGTTGATAAAATTATCAAAAAAACAAAATACAGCTAAACAAATAAATATAAAGTCAGAATGTTCATTTAGGATAAATGGACTAACTTATGTTCATTTAGGATAAATGCACACGCCCATGTAAACAAATAGGCCCTCTCTAAATCTTTCAGAATTTATACTAAGTATGGGAGGTTACAAAACTATTGTTAGAGCAACAGCTGAGATACTAACGGGAATAGACATTTATGGAGGCACCGACTGTGTGAAAGGCAACATATTCGATTTTCCTCACAGTCCTGAAAACACAACTGGATGAATAAACAAGGAATAAACAAATTCTAAGAAAAGGCAAACTAAGTGACATGGTAAATGTCTTAAGAGTGTTCTAATACTCAGAACGAGAGTGAAAGGCTCTATTAATACTGATGAGGGGCATACGGTCAGGCTTCAAGGGAGAAGTCTGATGTTTGTTGATGACATGGAAGATGAGTATGATTTGAACAGATGCAGAAGACAGAGAAGCTGTGCTCCAGAAAGGGGAAACAGCATGCTAAGCTAGCATATCATTGTTAGCATATCATTGTTTATCATGCTCAAATCGTACCAGTGGTCTGATAAGGTGGGAGATCAGGCCTTTTGGGAATAGGCCCAGACAAGGGTGGACAAAGTGACAGGGATATGGCATATCAGGGACTTCAACTCTGGACCAAGTGAAAAAATGCGAGCTATCACACCTGGACTACCTTTGCGTATGATTCACTTTGGAGCAACTGTTGTCAGTGATTAGAAGAAAATTCACGGAACATAATCTGTAATAACACTCCTCAAACGTGGTGGAGAAAAGGAGATCGGCCAGCAGAAAACCAGTTGAGACATTTTTGGGTTGTTCCTTATAAAGCACAAGATTGACAAGAGACAATTTCGCTGAAGATAGAACAGGCTTGATATTTAAGCAAAGCATTCAAAATAACATCCCACTGACTGAAAGCAGGCAGGCATTAAAAACACAAACTCATAACATGAAATGCTCACAGGGATAGTTAACATTACCCTCTGTGGGGCAGCTTCATTCAGTTGGCCTCGCAAATTTACAATCAGTGATTCCAAGCAGTAAATTCATTAAAACCAGGAAATTGCTTAATTAGTTTAAAGTGACAAACACTTCTAAAAATAAATGTTTGAACTACATAGATTCCAAACAAATTTATCACAATCAGAACTGTTACAGTACACCTATAATGACTAGAAAATTAATTCATGGTAATAACATGTCAAATTGTATGTTTGTTAACTTGCTTTCTCCCCTTCTACAAAACAAAAAACAAACAAACAAAAAACCCTACTTGTTTCAATGGGTGTTAAATTTCCACCCATCCTCACTCACAATAGTTGTGCCATCTTGAGAGCATACTGACTTATTTCCAACCCATTTTGTTTTCTCTTTTATTGCCCCCAACATACCTACGGATGTTATTGTAGACTCATACACGATGGAGATGCTCTAGTCTGTTTTAGGAACCCAATACAAAGTCTAATTCAAATGTAATGTGTTAACTTTACCCAAGCTCAATGGTTTTAAAATAATGTATATGAAAATCTATACATTTAAGCTTCACTATGGGCTAAGTTGCTGGAAAAAAAATTAACATTTGATTATTAATATGCTAAATAAAGCTGTGGTATTCCCATGGACATTTATTTTGGAACATTAGAAAGCATATGACCAGTGCATTAATTAAATGCTATTATCACAGAACAGCCCTACTATAAGGCCTTCTGATCTCCCTCCACAGCAGCCCACACCTTTCAGAAGGGCTTGATAGCTCCAGCACTCTTTCAGTTGAATTTGTAGTAACAAATAGAGCCCATGAGATACAGGTTCAAGTTGCTCCTGGTACACATATAACGAACAAGGCCAATCTAGAGCAGAGCAGGCGTGAGTACACGGAATGCTAAGAATAATGGAAGCCTAATATACATCGTTAGTAGATTCCATTTTGTATTCACCCTCAAGTTTAGAACAAAACAACTGTCTCTTAATATAATTGTGATGTTTCTAGAATTGAAGATACCATTTTTACCTTCTTCCAGGATCACCACTGGGAGGCACAGTATAGCCAAAGGAAAGGGGAGAAAGCCATCAAGATTGTAGTGACTGGCTTCTCTTCCCTGTCCTGGGAGAGGTCACTAGCTAAAAGGGAACACTGAGCAGCAGCTACACCAGAGTCAGAACAGCATAAACACCCAGCTGATTATACCCGCATGATGTTAATACACTGCCATCAACATTAAACCTTAAAGCAGTTTGTAAAACATTTCATGTTTTCTGGGGAGGGAGTGCAATGAATAAACAGCAGCCTCAATGATTCATTTGAACATAACATTTTTATCTTTAAAATCATACTGATCTTATTGGGTCCTAGATAGTTAATCTGGTATATGCATTAATTATTACCAAATTATAATGTGTTCCTAAAAGGGCACATATTATCCGCATAAACATAATAAAAAAATATTTATGATCAGTATCACTTCAGTGAATACCAAGTGAATTGGCATGCAGGTAAAAGAAGAAACCATGTCACCCAGATATTTGAAGTTTTCTAACCTGAATTCATTTAGTATTTAATTTATAATAATAGTATTCATAATAAATTATATGAGTTATTAAAAGACTTTTAGGAGTTGATTGTCACAAACCATTTGGAAGTTTACTTTCCTGACACTGATGTTTAGGGAATGCATCTATATATACCAAATGTGTAAAATGAATGAACAAGAAAGTCTCAGCCAACATAAAGAATTGTTAAGGAAAAATATTAATAATGATCTTAGAATTATTTTTATGATTTATGTAAAAAAGTAAAAATAAACAAATGAAATATTTCAGCAGTTCTCCATTTTAAGAAAAGGGCATAGATTTACTTACAAGAAATCTAGAAGTCAAAGGAATGAAATTCCATCAGCAGCCTGCAAATTAACAACAACAAAACCTAAGACAATATTATTTAACTCAGGCCACTTAATTGAACAAGACAGAAGCAACATGATTACATACTTTATGATTCAATACTATACATGTATAGCATTAATGAATGATAAATAATATTAACACTAATTCTTCTTTCCAAAGATGAAACTGGAACATACTATAAATCTATCTGTTTTTGTTTGTTTGTTTTTTAAAGCACTATTCTTCCACAGGATAAGCAGTTCAAGCTGTCAATTTGATTGCGTGCACGCTGAGGAAAACAACCAGAAGACTAACACAATAATGGAGAATTTTTAAAAGAATGGAATTGTATTTCTAACTAGCATCGACACATATTTAGAAACTCAGGATCACAGGAAAAACGTTGCGCTACGTCATTGTGGTTTTCCAATTAGTTTTAGCAAGTTGTTGTATCTAGATGCTAATACAAGAGGATCTGCAGCCTCTCAACAGTCACTGATGGAGCATTTGTAGTTCAGTAAGCCGCTGCAGTGTCTCACTGATGTAAGCTCTGCTGTTTTGACACTCCATCCAGATGCTCCGATTTTGCTTCAGTGACTCAGAGCTGAGTCTGAGTACCTCAAAACATGGGTAAAAAGAGTTATGGTTAAGGCAGGGTTGGAGTTGCAATGAACCGGTGTCACCTGCACTGATTTGCAATCCTGGAAATGGTGTGAAAACAGCATGGTGGTCTTGATTGGTCACTCATATGGCTAAGGGCCAAAGGGAACATAAATGAATTCAGGTGTTTTTTTTTCTCTTTCTCTCTCTCTCATTATCTTTTCTATATCATAATGACTCAGCGTACAAAAATTTCATGATAAAAGATATAAATCCTATGGAAGGATCTGCATTTTCATAACAGACAATCTTCTATCAGGGTGCTATCTGTCATGCATTTAAAAGAGTCTGTGCTTATATATGCATAATCCATAACATCCTTGGGTTGACCTATATAGATTACCAAAAGATCTAACATTGGGTTTTGTTAAATTCCTTGTCTCCTTTATCCATAGAAATTATTGTGAACCTGCTGATACAAAAAGCATACCCATAGAACTTTAATCTAGGAGGAGTCTTCCAACAATAAGATGAGTTTTTAAATGGGTAGCAGCTTTTGTGCAAGCTGTATGTCAAGCTACTTGACAGAGTTAAGTAATACAATTGCAAAGTTAAATAACAGAAGGGAGAGGCATTAGGAGGCAAAGAAAAGATAGAAAATTCGTGTTTTCAGATGAGATCTGTGAGGAGGAGGAGAGTCATCTGAGTAGGGAGACATAAGAACCCTCTACAGTGAACAGAAGCTGAAGAGAAATTGATTTGGAAAGAATAGGGGCATAATCACGATGTTGAATAGCACATTCAATAATGAGCCTGATTCTTGGAAATGCTCATGTGAAGGTGGAGCCAATAACTCCGAGAGTGACGCACACCATAATTTCCTCAGAAATAGAGCTACTCCTCACCCCTAATGAGAACAGTCTACATGACACAGTTGCACGGAGTATTAAAATGAAGGCGAGAGGTGAAATGAGAAATCTGAGGGGTACATGAAAAGTGATGGGATTTCAGGAGAACACCCACCACCATGGAAACATGCCACGAAGCAGAGTCACTAGCCATGTGAGGACGTGATGGCAAAGTGATAGCTTATCTTTGGTGGAAGGCAGCTTGATGTAGTTCTATACTTTGCAGAGATGTCCATTAAGAAATCCTTGAGAAAGGGGAGAAGTTACATAAAAGAACTTGAAAGCGTAGACAATTTGAAACTATTATAAAAATGAGGACATGGTGCTGATTTAGTGACAGCATATGTTTTAACACACGTAAAGTAGAAAGTTAATAAGTCTCACTTCTGGGATCACTTCTGATATTAAGATCTTTGCTTTCACAGTCAAGCCGAACGGTGATCTTCAATAGCAAGCCAGAGCATGAGGCAGGGGACTGACGCAGGGCTGGGCATATTGAGGATGGTCACCAGAGTCCCGGCCAGGGGCAGGAGGTGTGGTAGGTGTGAACAGTCACAGAACTCACAGCTCGACATGCTAGAACACATAACTGGCCTTCCCATCATTTGTCCTTGAGTTTCCTGTGCTCACAAAGTATATTTATGATTTCTCATCACACTGCCTCTTAAGCCCTCTTCCTTTTCTGGCTTCTTCTATTCCATGCCTTCTGCATCACAGTGGTTTCTACCCGCCTGTCTACACCAGTGTGCTAAGCAGCCTCCTCAGAACAAACCAGCTCTTCTCAGTATAGTCTATGATTTTATGTACTACATAAAATGTACTGCTTTTTTGTGATTCTGTCCATTCTTCCATCTTCTCACTGACCCAACCCTTTAACCAATCCCTTCCCTATATATGCATACACTTTGACTCCCCTGAGAAGTTTGCTAAACCATAAAGGAGGATAGAGATGAGATAGCTTGTGGGGGGGGGGGAATCAACATAAATACATACACACATATATATATGTGTGTATGTATTTATGTTGAGTTACACATATATATGTATTTCTCGAGTCTGAAATACGCCAGAATTGCACTTTCAATTTTATTTTTAAAATTTTATTTTATTTTATTTTATTTTTCTAGAATTGGGTCCTTGGAAATTAGCCCATCTAAGTTTATATTTTATCTCAGAATCATATTGCCTAATCCTCTGACATATAGGAATTGATTCAGTGGGAACACTTGTGTCATAGACAAAACAGCACAATCTATCTGGGGTCTGTTATTTGTCTCAATCACTTAGATTGTTTCCATTTTTTTAAAATTAACAGAATGGCGTCTGGCATCTGCCAAATATAGCTCTGACAAACAGGAAGACTTGACTGAAAGAAGCTGGCGTGAGGATAGAGAGAGAACTGACTGCACGAGGGCCAACTGCATTTCATTCAGATGGCACGACACGCTCATCAACTTGACTCCCCTTGTTAAATGCCTGCAACACTGTTGCTTTAATCTTCAATTTTAACTTGTCCTTCTTAGATTCCAGTTTCCTAAGATACCCCTTCACACCCTTGGCCTTCACAGTGCATCATTCACTAATCTTATTGTCCCCATCTGGTGAACTTGCCATTCATTCATTCATTCACTTTTGAATGCACCTCTGAATTAGGCACAAGGGATTGATAAAAACACAGACTCATACTTTTCCTTTATATAATGAGTTTATGATCAAATTGTGATCAAATATCCAGGATATTTTCTTATGAAAAATTAAAAAAAAAAATAAAACGCCTGACTATGACTAAATTCCAAATGAATGATATAGATCCATAGCACTTATGAGAAAGTGGGAACTATTGTGATCTACAGTAATTCATTCATTTAGTACAAATGTAAATTATCTGGCACTTATCAAAATACTGGGTTAAAAAAAGTTACCAAAGTTAAAAAACCAAAGTTAAAAAAAGAAAAAGACCAAGCCATATATAGCTTTCAGTTGGAGAGATATATAAATAGAGATATAAATATATATAATATGCTAGATAGCAATACATGCCAAGAAAAAAAATAATGCATGTGAGGATAATAAAAATAGTTGGGGAGAAGTTTCAATTTCAGATGGGATGGCTAGGAAAGTTCTCCATACTGAGAAGGCAATATGTGACTAAAGACCTACACAAAATGAGAGCATGAATCGTATGAATATTTGAGGCTAAGACCACACAAAGGCCGTGAGATGGGGGCATGTCTTGGGTATTAAAACAAACTAAAACATTCCCAAATTAGAATGCCATGGCGTGTAAGGGAGACTATCTGAAGATAAGGTTGGAGAATATTAGTGCTTCCCATAGAGGGGTTTGTAGGTTATAGTAAAAATGTTGGCATTTACTTAAAACCAGATGTCTTTGGAGAGATTTAAGCAGAAAAGTGACATGATCTGACTCCTACTTGGACAGGATTACTCTGAGTGGTATCTTGAGAATGACGCTGGGATCAGGAGGACAGAACCAGGAAGACCGATGAAGAGACTATTCTGTTAGTCCAAGGTGAAGAGATGACAGAGGCCCAGAATGGGGCAGTGGCCATGGAGGGATGAGAAGTTTTCTGATACTGGATATATCTGGAAGGCAGAACCTAAATATTGGTCAGCAACCTAATTGCTGACCAATTACATGTAGGATGAGAGCAGAAGAGGCAACACGATGAAGTCAAAATTTTTGATCTGAGCGATTATAAAGCTTGAAAGGTCAAGATATCTTTAACTGACTTGTGGAAGACTTGGGGAGGGACAAGGTGGATGAGCAGGGGTGAGGGCGTTCAGAGGCCAGCTGTGCCTGTGCTAGGTTTGTTTGCTTGCGGTTCAAGTGGAGATGCCAAGTAGCCAACAGGACACACCAGCCTGCATTGAAATACAACATTGGAAGTCACCAGCATGTAGAACCCATTATACTGGATAAAAGCAACAAGAGAGGGAAAATAGACTGAGAGAACAGAGATCCAAAGATTGAGTACAGTGAGTATTCCAACATCTAAAAGTGAGAAAGATGGGAGGAATAATTAAAGGCGTCTAAGAGAGACCACTTGGAGAGGCAGGAGGCACACTGTGCAGGGGTGATGCCCTGGAAGCCAAGCGAAGAAAAAGTTTAGAGGTAAGAGTGCTCTGAAGAGTGATGGCTTAGTGGAATGCTCAAGTAAAATGAGCACTGAAAATAGTCTCTTCTATTTAACAAGGCCAAACGTGGTCACCAAAGTGTGCTTTCTCTTCTATGTGGTCACACAGCTAGGCCATATTCCCCAGCCTTCCGTGGGACTGCAGGAGGGTCAAGAGCCGGTGCCATGGACAATGCAGTGGGAGTGGCAGTGGAAGCAGAAAGCTTACTGGGATTGGCTAAAGGTAGAATGGGAGAAGAAAACTTAGAGACAGCCAGTTTGGGCAACTGCTAGGTAGAGTTTTTCTGTGAACAGCAACGGAGAAGAGAAAAATGAGATCAAAAGAGGTATTACAAGATGAAAGAGATAATGATACTTTTGATATGGATGGTGATGATCCACTGATGATAAAAGAGAATTGCTGAGATATGTCCTTGAGTACATGACAGGGTGGAATTTTGCATAGTTGTGGAGGGTTTGGCTTCAACGGGGAGCTTGGATCCACAGAAACAGGGGAGAAGACAGCACACGAGGGAGCAAACCTACGTAGGTGAACAGGTTATGTGATGAGAGTTCGTGTAAATTCCTGTCTGATTACTTTAGTTTTCTCATTGCAATGGAATACAAGCTCAATTATGACTAATGGAGAAATAAAACTTGGGTATGCTTTGGGTTGGGATAAATGGAAAAGAAATGAGTTTATTATGTCTAGAAAATAGAAGCAAAGGCATGAGAGTAAATATAGGCAGAGCACATGCAGAGCATATTGAGAAGGTAAGTTCAACTAGTCTGGAACTCTTGTTGGGGACCAGTGAAAGGCAAGGAAGGTAGGTAAAAGTTTAGGTTGTTTATGAAGAGTACTTGAAGACCAGCCTGAATTTCCAATGAGGAGACTATTAAAGGAATGCTTTAGGAATCAAAATATCTGAGTCCCAGGCTTGGCTCTGTTACTAGTTTTCAGTTCTCTGAAGTTGGCTGGATATGATGAACTTCAACATCATTTTCAGCTTTGCCATTCTACAGTGTTAGTTAATTTACTCTGTGGCAACAGGAAATTATTGTAGGTTTTTCAGTAGTAGAGGGTGCACATTATTGTTGATATTTGTTGGGTTTTGCCTGGAAAAAAAAAAACCAGTTCTAATAACACCTGGTTCCCTCTCATTCTGATGGAAGCATCCTCATTCTCCATGGAAGAAACACTCCTCCTCTACCCAGTCAAGGCAGTTCAGAAGGGAATACTGGCACCCCTGGGATCTAACGGGGAGCATGTGTGGAACCCACAGTGATCATTCTGCATGTTCATTTCTCTTGGTACAATTGTGTCACGAATGTGCACATGAATCAAACCAGGAAAGTAGGGACCGATCTGGGATTTTGGTGCAATTATTGAAAACAAACTTTCTCTTTCCATTACAGTTGATGAACTGGTAGAAAATTTGAAATTTTGATTGTTACTATCTTGCTATCACCTGGTCTGAGAATCAAGCCCAAGGACCTTTAGAGAAGTCAGACTAATTTTTTATGACATCCCTTGAACACCTGCATTCTGAGGTACTGTAAGCCAAATCTCTACCTAAAATTCTCATTTTTTAAGTCCCAAATGAAACTGTACTGCCTTCTCATTTTTTTTTTTCTTTCTGATGCTTAAGCAAATTTGAGTTAGCATCCTTTCACTTTTAGCCACAGGAATTCTCAATATAATAAGATAAATACGAACAAAAACTGTTTAATAAAGAATATCCTGGTGTAGTGTATAGAGTGAAAAGAAGGAAGGCAGGAGAGAGGGCGATCTGACGGAAAGACAACACAGCCATCCAGGCAAAGACCGAGATGGGTCTCCTGAGAGAAGTGGCTGCCAGAAGGAAAAGGAGCGATATATCGTGGAGGATATATGGAAATGATTTCGTGTTTGGATATCAGATGTATCATGGATGACTCAAGCTCTGCATCTGTGCAACTGGAAGGAGAGGCACCGAGCAGGAAGATTGAATTCTGAAGGGAAAGCCGGGGTAGCCAGACGGTTACGTGACCACCTCTGAAATCCGGTGCAGGTGACAGGGGATGCCTGAACCACAGTGTTCCGAACATGCCTGGTGGTACAAGAAAATTATTCTTAACTACTTCAGAAATTAGTTACGGTAAGAGACACAGAATCATCTGTTCAGGCTCTCAGTGGATTCTGAAGGGAGGAAAGTATGGGGAGAAGGGGAGGAGTGAAGCTCCGGCAGGCTTCAGCATGCTTAAGATCACTGGCATTTAGATCCTCTGCTCGGCGCTACGGAAATACAAAACCTCATTTGTCTCCTCAAGCTTAAACCGTATCCAAAATCAGCACCACCCTCCTCCAGCTCCTAGCCCAATCTATGAACAGCTAATGTCCAAAGATCCCTTTCGTCAGGTTCCGACACCATGCACTTAAAATGAGTTCTGAGTGGCTTTTAAAATCAAGTCTCAACTCATGTTTTTGCTTTAAAGTACCTCCCGGTGTGGCCTTATTTTGCTTTTTTTTTCCTTTTAAAGATGGGGTCTCACTCTTTCACCCAGGCTAGAGTGCAGCGGTGCGACATAGCTCACAGGAACCTCAAACTCCTGAGCTCAAGCGATCCTCCTGCCCCAGCCTCCCAAGTAGCTGGGACTAATTTTAAAAAATATTTCTGTAGAGACAGGATCTCACTGTGTCTCATTTTGCTTTCAAAACCCCCTCTCTCACATCACCATCTGTCCCAGTCTGTTCCATCTCCCTGTGGCTTCCCAAATGGCATCATTACTCCCTGCCCTTAGCCTTTTCTCACACTCTTCCCATGGTGGCCTCATGGAGTGGGCACAAGGACACACCTGGGGCCACACTGTCACGTTTGACCCAGGCTCTGCCTCTTCGTAAAGGTGTCATTATGTAACTTCTCTCTGCTTTCATTTCCTTATCTTCAAAACACATGTAATAATAGTAACTACCCTCACGGGGGATGACAATTAAATGGCAGTGTATGTATGTATAAACTTAGAACACTGCCTACACATGGGAAACATGACATGATACACTAAATATTTCATCTCCTCTCTCCTCCTTGCTTCATTCAACCCACCAAGTCTCACCTCTGCCATCTACTCAGTTATGTTCCCTTATTTCTCTAAAGTCACTAGAATGCCACCATTCAGGATGTGAACTGCACGTTATTTTATGTGAACTAACCTTGCTGTCCACACACTCCCTTCATTTGTGAAACTCCCACGGAGAGGAATGCCTGCCTCCCCGGGTTCCATTGTTTCTGGAACACCTTTGTGCTTTCCCATTTTATGTTCTACATTCGGTGTAAAGCATGCCAGAGGGAAGATTCTCTCCTAAGAAGGACGATGCCAATCTGCAGGAGGACAGGCTGGGTCTGGGGTTATGCTACAGAATGAACCTGGGAGCAGGAGCCGCCTCGCCTCCTGCCTCCGCGAGCACACAGAAGCAGTGCCAAAGCCTCGCACCTGCCTCTCGGGGAGGCTGAGAATTTGGAAATGCAACAACCGTGATGGTCAGGGGTGATAGAGGGCTTCTCTGGAGCAGTTCTGGCCTGGAAGTGGAGCAAGTGGTCCAGACTTGGGAGCGGGACATACAGGTGGGGCCAAGAAGATTTGGGCAGGTGGATAAAGTGG